CAGCAGCCAAATAATTAAAAAACACAATACTAGATAAAAGCATGAACACCAACATCTCTAAGATGAAATACAGCCCAGGTTGCCCGTGCAGTCACAGTCAAACAAACAGGTCTTTTTAACATCAGCTGTTGGTTGTAATTGTAGAGCTGGGTATGTACAGCAGGGTAGAAATGCATCCTTCTCGTAAATCCTTATAACCAGAGGAGCTCCAAGCGCATTGAATGTGATTGAATGTTGCATTTTTTATCATTTTTTTATACTCCAGTAAAATTTAGAGGCTTCAGCTAAATTCCCAGTCCCCTTGTGCTAGGTGCTGTACAATTACAACTGCCCAGTGAGCTAGAAGCACATGCTTACTATTAAGCATATGCTTCTGTGCTTGCTTGAATTGCAACCCAGAGAGCTCAGAGTCCAGACAGTGTATTTATGCCGGTCGATGAGAAATGTCTTCTTTCTTCCTTTTTCCCAAAAAGGGCCATTTTATTACCATTTGTGATAGCTGGCATGCATCGGCTTGGTAAGGGGATCACATGCAAGCAAAGCAGATTGCACCCGGCAACAGGATATATTCAACTCCCTGGCAGGATATATTCTCCTACCTCTTGGAGGGAGAAAAAGTGCACGTCTCATGTCATTCCCTGAAGCCAGTTTGATTTCAGCAGAAATAAAGCGGCCCTGGACGTTTTACAATTATTCAGCGGTGGGCCTCGCTTGGGCTCATTCATGTGTCAGGTTTCTTAAGAGGCAAAGAGCTTCTCCATCCCAGACAAAGAAAAGCTCTTGTTGTTTCAAGATGATCTGGATGTGATGGGTAAAATGTCAGGGTGTTTCAAAGCAGATTCAAGCCCCCCCCCCCCAGTTATTCCAGTGGCTTATCCATCACACTCCTCCTCTTCCCTTCATCTTCTCCCTCTCTTTACCTGGGAAAGGGGAGAAGACGAGGTAGGAAGTCTGCTAGCTGCCTTAGCCAAGTCATCATTTGTTTTCTCTTTTGCCTGTCTTCCCTGGTCACATTATAAGTTCCTTGGGGCAGAGACCATCTCTTATCGCGCACAAAGACAGGGCACAGACAAACGGGGGTCACCGTGCCAGGGATGGTCCTACCATCTAAATAGCCCGTTATGGCCCTGGATACAAACTCCCCCAGAAACCTGGAGTAGTCGGATTCACTGTTCTGCATCAGCCACCGAATACGAAATGGGGATCTGGGACTAACCCCAGGTCCACGTGTCCTTAAAGATCAAGGTGGGAGGAAAGAGCAGGAGAGACCAAGCCCAGCTCTGCTTTGAAATGGTCCTGATAAAAGACATCGCCTGTCAGGACTTTCCCTGTGTGCGGGCTTCACTGACCTGGGACAGGCTCCAAACCAGGTCTCCTGCACAGCTGTGACGATAAGGAGCAACCAGAGCATCCTTCAGCTCGCTCCTCCCGGTCAGCTCCGGTCCTCTCCCCTTGGGTTGAGCTTGCTCGATGCTGGACACTCACGAGTGCTTTCTTGTTTGCAGGTCTCCCTGCTGTATTTGTGATGGTGTGGGCCAGTGTGAGGGCCGCTCTCGCAGATACCGAGTAAGTCCTGGTTGGCTTCTGTCTTGCTTTCTCCACTCCTCAGGCAGCGTCTTGGCTGCGTTGTTTTGGAGCAGAAAGGTTTGCACAGGGGGAAAGGAACCAATGCACTGAGTTTTAAACCGATCTCAAAGGCAGATTGCACCAATTTGATGAAAGGGAGTTAAATTTCACTCTTCAATTAGACACGGCCTATGCAAAGCTGTCCCATACAGCTTGCTGAACCCTTGGATGCCCCACCCTTGCCAACACCGCTTACCTCCCTAACTCACCCAAGAGCAGGCTGGGATGGTGCAGTCTCATCCATAAGACTGGAAACAAGACCTGAGGAGTGTAAAAGGGGTGGCACCGTGAAATCTGTAAAGTAAAGGCTGCTCCGATGTGCTGTCATTACAGCGTGTTGGAGCAGGCTCAATTAATCGAGTCTGCTGAAGCGTGGCGATTACTGTGCTCCGGCAGACTCCAGCATCTCTTGTATCAGCACCCCCACGCTTCAAAATGGCAGGGGTGCTTTAACTAAAGCTCATCAAACAAACTTTAGTTCATACACTCCCACTGCCATTTTTTAAGCATGGGGATGCCGATACACGAGGTGTTCTTGGTGCTTTAATTAGAGAGACTCTTGAAGCTGCTCTAATTAAAGTGCACCTCCCTCCCCCCCAAACACACACACAGACACTCCTAGAGCACGTGTATAAACACCCTAATATTTTTAATGCACTTAGAACTGGGCTGCGTTGGCAGGAGCGTTGCCAGCAGATGGAGGGCAGTGATTCTTCCCTCTATTCAGCACTGGGGAGGCCACATCTGGAGTCCTGTGTCCAGCTGTGGGCCCCACTACAAAAAGGATGTGGACACATTGGAAAGAGTCCAGTGGAGAGCAATGAAAATGGTTGTGGGGCTGGGGACAGGACTTGTGGAGAAAGGCTGATGGAAATGGGCTGATTGAGTCTGCAGAAGAGAAGACCGAGGGGGATTGAATAGCAGCCTTCAGCTCCCTGGAGGGGGGCTGCAAAGAGGATGGAGCTGGGCTGTTCTCAGTGGGGGCAGATGACAGGACAAGGAGCAATGGGCTCAAGCTGCAGCAAGGGAAGTTGAGGTTGGATATTAGGAGAAACTTTCTCACTAGGAGGGTGGTAAAGCACTGGAACAGGTTACCCAGAGAGATGGTGCAATCTCCATCCATGGAGGTTTTTAAGACCCATGTAGACAAAGCCTTGGCTGGGATGCTGTAGTTGGGGCTGGTCCTGCTTGGAGCAGGGGGTTGGATTGGATGTGACCTCCGGATCTCCCTTCCAGCCCTCATTTTCTATGATCTGTGATGAAGAATGAACGGTCGGCGTAACCAGAGATGTCTTCTAATTCCCTCCTAACTGATGGGTATGGGGCAGGGGTTGGCCTGTTGATATGCAAGGACTGGACCAGCCCACTTCCAAGGCTGAGCAGCCATCAGGAATGTCTGTTCATCCAGATGTGCACTTGCTGATGTGGTGTCCATGTCTCCCCAGGTGCTGGGACTTGAGTGCCGGCAATTTAAAATGGATCGTTCAGGTGCCCATCCTGGCATCTATTGTGGTGAGTACAGGCTGGCATCCACCTGGCATGAGGTGTGTATGTAGGTGCCACATCGGCTTTTGTTTCTGGTGGAAAGACCTATCATGCTTGCCTGACCCCAAGCAAGGAAACAAAATGATGGCTTATGTTGGGTTTGGCAAAAGTGACCGGTGATTTGAGAGGGTGCTTCAGATTGTGGAAGCCTAACTCGAGATGCCGTCAGAGAGTGTTTCCAACCCAGGTGATGTTGGAAAACCCATGAGCTCCAGCATGCTCCTATTAGAAGAGGTCTCCTTCAGTGTTGGACTTGGGGTCTTTATCCAAACCAAGCCTTTGTACTGGTGCTGTTTGCTCATCCTGAGTTTCTGCTCTGGATCCGGGAAGGACCAGGAGTGGCCCAGAGATCGGTTGTTAAGGGAGAGGTCAATTAAGCCTCATAACAGCCAATATTGGGCAATCCATGGTGTCCTTCACCGAGTGT